CCGCCGCCACCGCCGCCGCCGCCGCCGCCGCCGCCACCGCCGCCGCCGCCGCTCCGCTAGAAAGTGAGAGGAAGATGTCGAACTCGCAGCGTATGCGAAAGTCCTCGCCATGCTCGAAGCAGGGCCCGATGCGCGCCACCCTGCCCGTGAGCTCGCTGATGAGGCAGGGCCGGCAGAGCAGCAGCCTCCGCAAGAGCAACAGCAACAGCCCCACCGTCTCGCCGACGAACGCGGCCGTCTGGCGGGCGCGCATCTCGCCGGAGACGTCGTCTTCCTCGGGACAGCGGAGCCCCGGGTCCCTGTCCTACAAAGGTACGTCGGTCTTCCCCTCTCCCTCTTTCTCTCTTTCTCTCTCTCTCTCTCTCTTTCTCCCCCGCTGTCTTCCCCTCCCCCGCCGCGGGCTTGTTCTTTGTACTCGTGGAGTTCTGATCGAGGAACACGCGTGTTCGCGCGTGTGACCGCCTCGGACGTCGGAGTCGTCGTCGCGGACGAGTGTCTGGGTCCTGACGACGACGACGACGACTCCGCGGTCCGGCGGTCCGAAGAGAAGCTGCCGGTCCTGTCGCTCGTCCCTCGAAAGGCACCGGTGGAGACCCTGGTCCGGTCGAGAGGTACGTAAGTCGTCCAGTGCTCCGGGACGAAATTGCTGTTTGTTGAAACCTTCTTTTTTTCCCTAGACTGTCCCGCGCCGCTACAAGGTATGTAAGTTGGAGGCAGGTTTATTGCAGAATGAAAGACGTTCCCTGTCTGATCCGAGCGCTTCTCGAGTCATCAAATTGTTGACACGAGGGGGGTCAATTCTGCGTCTTACGAATAGCTTTGGCTCTTTCTGATCGTCTCCCTGGAAAGCGATAAAGCCGCTCACTTTTATGCATTTTCACTATGTTGCAAGACGCAGAATTGCGCCCGAGTTCTCTTCTCTTCGCCACGCGAATTGGAAAAAGGTCGAAGGGAGGAGAACGACTTGTGAGCTGTTCGCCAGCTTCGACATTAGTGTCAGGAGCGTTCTACGTTTCCTTATTATGATTTAACCAAGCTTGTCGCAATGAAGAAAATGCTCTTTTCTTTTCTTCTTACATTCGTAATCGCCCGTTCCAAATTTGCTCATTTGTTACTTGGTAAGTACCCGATTTATTTCTTTACTGTATTTATTATGTTGCAATGTGTTTGTGACTTTGTCTCGACAATTCACAGTTTGCTCCGGTTACTCGCAATTATACACAGTTTCTCTCAGTTGTCTCGCGGGATAAAAGTTGCCTCTGAGAAGAGTCCAAGTAATTTATCTTCACGTTTCTCTGTGTCGCGACACGTGCGTCACGACTGCGGTAACCGAAGAGACATTTTTAGTTCGGTTACACCATGCGTCTGTTATTCTTATGATTTTACCTCACAAACACACCTTGTCCCAGCAACCGAAAACAATGCTTATAGTTCGGTCTGGTGCATGCACGTATCTTTTTCATCTTGCGATCTGTTGTCTTCGGATTGAATTCTCTTCGCGTTTATCGCCCTCATGCTTAACCGGGCATTGTTGTATCTTGCAGCCAAATCAAAAACATTGAGCGGCCGCTGTAGCGACAGCTTGAGCGGAAGTCAGAGCATTCGACGGACAGCATCTCTGGACACCATCTATCTGAAGGGACAATGGCCACGTGACTCCTATTATATGCATTCCAGCCTTTTGGTAGACAAATCTACTCAGGTGAGTGGATCTCGTTTATTCCGAGAACAAGTGTTTATGCGAGAAAAACTCGGAACGTTTGCATCCAACCATGTTTGGCATTCGTTTCATTTGACTCACGCGCGCCTCTCGTCTTGATTGCAGACGGAAGAATGTTCCAACGAGCCAAGAAAGATGCATACTCGCCATCCTACAGAACAAACTGTCACCGATGAGAAGTTGGAGAAGAATTACTTCAGGCATCGGTGTGTATTCATGTCGCTGACCGTTTCCCCTTTTTGTTCTCTGTGCTTAGATTGAAAGATCTACACGCTGTTCTATATACATTTTCCATCGTAGATTACAACGTACAAATAAGGAAGGTACTAGCAGTAGAGAGCGAACAGCGGCATTCGGACTAATAATGCCAGGTGGCCCGCCACCCGCGCTTCCCGGAGATCACTCAGTACTTTTGCCCAGTATTGCTTCACAGACATCCATGCGTGAGTGACTTCCCCGATAGCTCCTCCGCCGCAGGATCAGTTAAACCGCATGTTTAATGTCCCTTATATTTTTGCAGACAATCAGTTTAGCTTGAGTACAAAAGCGAGTCCCATGAATATCCCGGTGAAACCAATAAGGCCTCCAATGCGTTCGTCTATCGAAGGACTCAATCAAGAAATTGAAGGACTCGTGCTCAAAAATACAGCCAACAACAGCGATGCAGACCATCCAGTAGAAGACAAGGTAGCGTATAAAATTCCTCGTGTTAGTAGAATTTCGTAGACGTCGAATAAGATCGAGTGAGAGTTGATTTGTGCGATTTGTGTTATTGGGAGAAGGGCAGAAATCTTGTTTCACTGAAAGTACATTTAAAATTACATTTTATCCTGAAGATTATTTTTGTAACGATTCAGCACCTTGTATCTAGACGTGCAAAATACACATTTACATCATTAATTAGTGCAAAGTGTTCTGTAAGATGAAAGAAAAGTTTCAAATCTGTTGTACATTTTTCGCAAAACAGAGTTATATTCTTTAGCCTTTGGCTTATATGAAATTTCGATAAGTGTGAAGTTCTTTGGCAGAGCACTGGCATTATTCGACACAACTGGCTACAGTATTTAATTAAAAGAACTTGTTGCGAAAAATATTACCTCCGTCAGGATTTGAACCTGGACCTCCCTCATGTTGTGACGAGCGTCTCGGTGGTCTGAGACATGACGGGTATCCAGGTTCAAATCCTGGCTGAGGTAATATTTTTCGCAACATGTTCTTTTCATTAAAAAATAATTTTATCGAGTAGTATCAGTGTTCTGTTATTCACTTACCACTAGCGAACAAAACGATTGTACTAATAAAAGTTTTTTCTTTCTTTAGTATGCACGATATCGCGACCAAATCACACCTGAAGGACATCGCGCTCCTCTAGCAGACTTATTGCGGGCCACTCGGAGTGTCAACACACAAACACCGGCTACCGACCTTCCCTCCAGTTCTTATTCTTCAGGTAAATTGTAAGATAACGTCTTTGTGCTTAATTGATTTCAGGTATACACGGTGATTGTATATAATTACAATGATATAATTATAATTATGATGATTGTTACAAATATGCAAACGATTGTGACGTGCATCTAATAGTACAATGAGCCCTTCAAAAGATAACCGGGCAATAGCCAAGAAAATCAAGCTAGTTTAAGATTACATTTACTCTACATAGAGTGAATCTCTCTTAATGATAATTGGAAAAGTAATGATTTTACATAAAAAAAGATAAGTAGAATGTATAGAATAAAGTTATTTATACGAACATTTGTTTTTTTTCAAAAAGCATAAAATTAAGCTCGTGTAAAGAAATTTTATTTTATATATTAAACAATTTTTTTTGGTCTGAGACGATATTTTTCTGATTATCGCCAATCAAGCAATTATAGCCAGCTTGCATATGCACATATACATATTCTTTCTGGCTAAATGCAACAATATAAATAACACACTAACTGAAGGTGTGTGCCTGTTGAGACAGGCCCTCCATCTAGGAATTCTGAGTCTCCGCTGATTCCTGGTGTTATGGATGCGTCCCGTCCGCCTAGCGATCTCTTACAAGGTTGGAGCACATTTGCGGAAAGATTTGATTTTTCGTTTTCACAGATCTCATTTTTAACAAATTTGTTTGTCTTTAATCCCTCGACTTGTTATTGACATTCGCACATTGAGTGACTTATACGTATTTATATTGTATGTATAAATATATATATATACACATTTTACATGTATTTGTGTGTGTGTGTGTATATATAGTAAATGCATAAATGAGTACAGTTATATGTTTGTAAAAAACCATTAAGATATTTGTTTTATATGCATGGTATTATTGTCGATTTCTAAAAAGATTGCCATCAAGATATGTATAAAACTTCATTGTAAACTTGCGAGAGAACATCGTATTTTGTTAACAGACAAATTTGTGATCACGATTTTTACACAATCATTATTTCAATTACGATCAAATTTCCATTCAAGATCTTACCTTTTTTTTTTTGCCATCAATAACATGCGTGTCATTAGATGGCATATAGTTTGTACAACACATGATAGGTAAACCAGATATTCTTGAAATCATGTACATGTATCTGAATTTGTTGCATGATTTGCTATCTATCTATATGAATGTTTTTATACACTTATTTATTCTTTAGAGTCGGATATTCCCTTTTGCAATTGTAAATATTCTGAATATTTTTTACACATTATGCACTACATAAAGATTCAAACAATAACATTACAAGTGCATGGGAACTGTGATTTTAATTCAATATTTTTGGAATAGATATTATTTTTTTTATTTTTTTTTTAGCACCATGGGATGTTCAATATCATATGTATACAAACTTTCTCTCTAATTCAATATTTTTAACAATAGATATTGATATTTATTTAATTTTTTTTAGCACCGTAAGGATATAAATGTTTTACATATACAACAAAATTTCTCTCTATATGTATCTTTAATATTATTAAATTAGCATGTAAAGAGATAATTTGTTGACACATTTATCTATTTATCACAAAATGGACGTGCAAAGACCCGTTTTGCCTAAATCTGTACCTAATCTTCATATACGTACACGAGCAAGCAACCATTGTGAAAATAGCGAGTGGCATGAATTCCTGTTACATAATTTTCAATTGACACAAAGAACAACACGCTCCATGTGTTATGTTTTCTGCGATGATACGACTCCGACACTCCTCTTTGATTTGTAGGTGGAAGTCGTGGTTCAACACCTGAACAAGATAGAGAAGGACGTCTTGGCACTTCTCCTCACATTAACAGGTTCCTCGCGAGGGAACCGCCCGATGGCTGTGAGAAAGTCAACCTCAAATTTGTGGAAGATGCGAGGTAACATAGATAGCACCCTCCCCCACGGTATTGTTTCCTATGGTTTAAATAACAACCTTCTTTTTTTCTCCACATTTCCACGTGTACAGGCGGCCCATGATAGATTTGAGCAAACTAGAATTTTGCCCAAAGCCGTGCGTTCCAGCATTCCAGTTGAAACCCAGCTTGGGATCAGCGTTCCTGCCATTGCAACAGCCGGCCAGTCCGACAATGGTCGCCAGTGCATCACCCTCCGCGCATACAACACCGACCACACCTCCTCCAAATCCATAGTCCCACTCTTTACCTTGCGGTGTTACACTTATAAGCTCGATTAGTATATATACATATATATATTTTTTTTTAACGACCTTGTGGGTAGAAAGTGATTTACTTCGAGATAAAGGCATATAACGACAAGGAAAAGTTACCGAACAAAAGAAAAAGAACAGCCTGTTCCCAGTGCGTCCCGTGCGGGCATCGTGAATTGTGTAATTAATAAAAAAGAAGCTGCAATTGCATCGATAAAAGAAAAAGAAGTATTGGAAGGCATTTGAGCTCCGTTATAATGATCGAAACAATAATAAATACGAGGAACAATAATTTGTGATAACTAAAAGAAAAAAACAAAAAGAGAAAAGAAACGACAAAAGGTTTAGGAATGAACATTGTGTTCTACAGGGAGAAAAGACTAATGAAATTGTGTATTCTAAATTTAGTGCTAAAATGTGCTAAACGACTTTAGTTTTGTATACACGGATAAATATTCAAGGTGAGAAAAAAGGTATTAAATTTCATTGTTGGAATAAACAAAATTCTACGGATACAGAGAAGAGAGCACGTGTTCACGATATATATATATGCATACGTACGCATATGTATATATATATTGCTGCTTGTCTCTATAACATTTTATTAGAACTTTATTGCTTGAAGTAACTCGATTACATAGTGACAGAGATAAATCACTTGTTAGAATTTTGTATCGTTTTGTATTATTACTTGTATGCTAAAAATATTCTCAAACTATTATTGTACAAGGAGCTAAAAAAATGTATCCCTTTGTGTGTATGTTGTGTTATGCGTGCGTGCGCGTGTCATTGTTTTACAGAAGTGGCTTTACGAGAATGTTGTTTTTTTGTTGTGAGATAAATACGGGCGATCGATTGTCGTGAACGTTTGTTTGGAGCTGCACATATAGAAACGTTTTAATGGCTTTATTTTTGATAAACGAAATTAAGTAAACTATACATTTTAAAGAGCGAAAATAAATTCAATATTTCATATTTTATTCAGAATTAATATTGTCTCATTGTATTCTGTCTCGCGACAATACCACATAGCAGTATAATATTTTTGGTTTATCCTACATTAAATTGCAATCTGAACATGTACAACCAAGACAACATACAGTGACAGGTTGGTAAATGTATGATGGAATGAGTTCAACGAGACATGGATATGCATTGAACAGAAGTAATGAACGATAATACTAAATAGTGATTGACGACATGTGCTTTCGCCAGTATGGTATCAGATGAGAGTAAAAAACCGGCTCCCTGATCTGACATGGAAGAAGGGTGTGCGTGCATTTGTATAGACGTGGATAATTATGCCGAAAACATATAATCTGCGTTTTATACGAGCAAAAGTATGGGTGTGTTGTAATATCAGAATCCTGATTAAGCCATTCACACGAATAACTTTAGTTAGGAATCGATTAACCAAGCAAAATCAGTTTCAGCGTGTAAAAAATGTTTGCTCAAACGTAGTACGATTATCAACTTTTGTGTTACATAAGATTAAATTATTAGCAATTCACGTGGAAAAGTCGTTTCAGTTTTTATCGCGTTATTAACGGAATTAAAAAAACAATGAATTGTTATACAAGGTACGAGCGTGAGGGAAGAAAGTTATTCGTGGGATGGGTTAAATTATTCTTTAGTATACGCAGACATAGCCACTCAAGAAGTTCAAGTTTATTTTTTGCTTTCTAATACGAAAAGTTTTTGCAAACGGTTTTTATAGTTGCTGTCTGTAGAAAATAAGAATCTTGATAGAGTGTAAAGTCAAGAGCGGAAGAAACGGTTTTTTAAATACAATAGTAATATACTTTCTAATAATGTAATGTATATCTAGCTACAACAGTGAAGAAAAAAAAGAATGTTAACACATAAGTACCTGGCACACTGGTCTATGCTCTCTCTTATCCAGCTCACTAGGAAGTTCATGCCTTAGAATGCGTGGTAAAGTGTGCTACATAGACAGGAAGGTTAATCAGAGAGTCAGGATACACACAAAAAAATGCACTGGCTAGTTAAAGTGTATACAATACAAAGATACTGTAGTATTTACTAGTTTAAGAGACTTCGTTTTTATTTATTTTGCTACAGATCTAACGACACCTCGTACCATCACTTTGTCGTATTATCTGAGTGTGAAGCAGCTTTTGAAGGAAAGAAAGCGTATTCAATTACTTCGGTCTGTTTGTGCTTTGCACTTCGGATGGAGAATGATTCCGACGTAACACGACGACGATGTATAATTAACGTTAATGAATAAAGTGAAAGAACAGGTTTTCGTACTTTTAATAATGAGCAGTAGATGAAAAAGGAAGTGACTTCAGCGAACGCTAGCCTCGTTATTTTCACCGCACTTTGTCAAAAGGCTCCACTCTTTAACCTTCGTGTACTTGCATAATGTGTTATCATTATTGTTAGCTTTTGTTGTCAATTCCGTAAGCAGAGTAACGCGTATGAAGACTGCTGGAACTGAGAATATTACCTGTTATTCGGATACCTAAAAAAAAAAATCTAAAGTTAAATAAATTAGTCTCAAATCATACCGATTACTTGTGAACGAGTATAGGACATACTCGTGTAATTTATTAAATAATCTCTTTACGTCACTATTGTTCGGTACATTCTCTCTACATATCTAAATCTGAGCAGGCTTCAGAAACGGCAAAATGATTATGTCAATTAAAAATTCATTTAACCCTAGGACAGTCTAGATATATTGTTGCAGTATCCTGCACAAGAAAACGAAAATGATTGTTGACCGTATATTGTAATTTGTAAGATGCTCAGAATTATACAAACTTTTCAGTACATAAAACATGTATGTTGTATAAAATATCTTAAAAAAAATTTTTATATACCTGCTGAAATTAAATGCAACTTTTATTCACTGTTTTATAATAAATATATAAAACATTATTTATTGTTTTTTTTTACTCTATAAGTAATACTACTGTCGACTACCTACTTTCTAGAATTCAGTCCTGCTTGTGTGCGTAAATATATGTTTCACAAAAATATTTCAACGTACCGAGCAATTTATACTGTTCTAATAGTGCATACATACTTGCTAAACTAATCTAACTTTGACATTTTATTCAATTGAAAATAACAAAGCTTACGTAAATGTGAGCACTTTATTTCACTTTCAACACAAATGCCGTCATGGTCTATGTGTGTGGATGTAAAATATTCATAAAATAGTTATTAATAACCACTTGATATTTACAAAATGGAAAATTCTATAGTTTGCTACATGATCTGTATAGGTTCGCCGACTTTTGGCCTTATAAATACAGATATATTTGAATTTCTAGAATAACGAACATAATTGTCTTATAATTGTGACATTTTCAATATAGAAGAGTATCTTACAATGTTACTTATATGATACTGTTACTTTTTATTTTACCTTTGAATTGAACGTTAAAATTTGTTCGGTTTCTTGCTAGTCCTAGGGCTAAATCAAAATTAGTCAAAGAAGAGAAATAGAGCATGTAAATAATAAGTTAACGCTTCTTGTACTAACCATTTCTGATACAGAACATAGCGATGCATATTTTCACAAAATTAAATGAAAGTTTATTGATGAAGCAACAACAGCACGTTGGTCAATGTGTATATATATATATATATACATATATACATATATATTAATGTGTACATATACAAAAATAGTTTTGTGCTCATATTTTCGCAATAATTACTTATCACTTGTTTTTTTACGCTTATAAGATGTTCCAGGATTAGCATATTTCTTAAATATTGAAATGGACGCTAAACGATACTTTTACATTACATTTTCATAAAGAAGAAAATTTATTTCAATTTTTAATAAGAAACCTTGATATATATAATTCTGGAACAACTTGTATTCTTATCACGATTTACTGGCTTAGTAGTCTTGCAAATAAATTTCAATATTAGGACACCATTTCATTCAATATAATATACGATTACTTTATTAGATGTCCGTTTTCGCAGTTTTAATAATATTTCGATATATTCTTGATCAATTATCACAAATATATATTCAGGAATTGTATAAAAATATATAAAACAAAGTTAGTATTGAGAATATTAGATAAAATTTCGTGCTTTTTAATATCTATATTGAATCTCTTGATATACTACTCGATTGATTTGTACATAAAATTTGTTTAATTCTGTCATTCTTTATTGGGTGAGAAAATTGATCGTTTGAACGTGGATGGTTTAATAACGATGCTTACGATGAATATGATTAATATACTGCGATTGTGATGTAATCTAAGCTCATGATATTTCGTTCGGCCATTGAGATAAACACATCGACTATTGCATGATTTACAAAATGATATAATTATTACTGACCTTTATTCGTCGATAGGAAAAAAAAGAGAAACGTTAATAATAAGTATATTTGTAACTTGGAGCGTACCATGCCATTAAGGAAGAAAGAACTTCTCTCAATATGGAAAGGTGAGCACAGCCAAAGTGTTGCCTAGTACAAATATTATTGTAAAAAAATGAATTGTTATTTAAATGAGCCGAAAGTGCTACTTGCGTTTTGCGCAGATTTATTTCGAGATACACTTATCGATATCTTTGATCTCATGAGTCCTCTTATTATCTTACCTCTCCATAGTGAGAATATCTTATGTAAGTTATTAAAATTCATGATTTTTACATACGCGATTAGTTGTACTCTGATTTACCGGCATAATATTATATGTACTTATTCCGATAACAATATGCACCTTTATTTTTGTCATAAAAGATAAATGGACAAATGTACCTTTTTATATTACTATTAAGACGCCTTACATAAATAAACTTTTTAGAAAACGAGAGGTATCTTGTAATTTGATTACACTTTGTTATCGTACGTAATAATTTAACATATTTTAGTCATACGAATAAAAAAGAAAAAGATCATGATATATATCTGAATAAATTTTCATATTTCATTCAGCCAACTGGTTTACTTTTGTATTCTTTAATCTTTTAACATGTTTCATATATATATATATATCGAAACTTATATTTGAGCAAACAATTTATATTCTATTACTGTTGTTACTTTACATTATGTAATTATATCCAATTATATATCAGGGTTTCATATATTCAATAACAAATATATTACTAATCGAGTAGAAGTTTTGTTACCAATATTGCATTGAGTTTAATAAAAACAGTGTAATTTATTATTATATTTTCTTCTGTAATCAAATTGATAGGATTTTAGACTGGGGTAATAATTTCCTTTGGTAAAACATTAAAAAATATAAATCTTACTTGCATAGAAAAGACCAGCTTTTAATATTTTTTTTACTACATATTAATTTTATACACATGCTGGCATTATATGTTAGTCACATGTGTATATATATGTTCTTATTTACATAAATACACGTAGCGATATTTATTTCCTTAATTATCAACAGTGTATATTGTGTATAACAAGATACTTGTCTGACGCAGTTAAATTAAAATTTGTTTTTCATTATATACAAATTGTCTATAAAAATTGTCATGATTATAAACCCATATATTGAGGGGAGGAAGAAAAAGTATTTCTTGCGGAATTATTTTTCCTCGATTCCTCAGCATTAGGACTATCACTGAAAATAAAAACTAATGATGATATCTTAGCAAAAATGTAAAAATATATCGAAAGAGATCTTTTAAGGACAGAATTTTCTGATAATTTAAATTCGCTTTAGCACTACTGGTAAAAGTGACAAATTCCGATATATATCATTCTTCAAACAAACGCGAAAGTGGTATACTTAATTGTACTTAGCGCTAAATATAAATAGTTATACTTAGCGCTAAATTCGAGCGGATGTACATATCTATAGTCATATAAAGAATTTCTTAAATTTATAGCAGTGTTGTCCAATAGCTGTATTATTCGTGCCACTACTGGACAGCGCTGATTTATCGAAAATTCTCGTAGACTAAATGATTTACCCAAAGAAAGGCATCAGAGACACGAGCGTCTGTCGGCTCGGCCTACACGCGAATACAGGTGAACACTGCGCTATGCGCCCGACGACTCGTCGTAACCATTGCTGCAGCTTTTGCCGTCGTTCTTCCACAAATTTCGCATCCTAAAAGTCATTGATAATCACTTGTTATGTCGAAACATTTTTGCTATTACAATATATAAAATTATATTTTGATATATCCATGGCTTACCTTATTTCCTATCGTTTTCTTCGGTGGAAATTCAAAAGTTGTAACAATAGAGTCGTGTTTCTTTAATTCTCGATAAAGCGCATAAAATTGAGCGTATCGCCGATAAATGTTCCACTCTATGTCTCTTATGCGTACGTAAATCTATTTTTAACACAATGCAAATTAAACAGGAATTATCTTGTATAAAGATTGTAATATTTTACAAACACGAAAGGTGATATCGTACCTGATAAACATGATGGATGTCAGATGATTGTCCTGTAAGAAATGCCGATGGAATCCATATGTGAATAAGACATGGTGGCTCCGCAGGTAAATCATCTTCATTCAACGGTCCTCGGAGACACTCCAATTCTGTTTGCAGCATCTTTACTAATCTATCCCTGTATAAAATTTGAACAGTGTAGGGAAACTTCATCACGAGAGGCTACTCGCACAGCTTTACATTAATACACACCTGTTTGTCAACTGCATTGTTAATCTAGCATTAAATTCCATTAATTCAGCATGCATATCTGCAACTTGTATCAACTTCTCTTCATATTGTCTCGCCTCGTTATGATAGTCTAATGATGGATCTTCCTCAGACACCGTGGAAGTGGAATCTCGTCTTAACATCTGAACAGCAGTGACATACTTACGCAGTTGCTGACGTAAGAGTTCATTCTCCCTACATAATTACAAGCAAGTCAATACAAGTCAAATCAATACAAGTTTTGTTATTTGATGTATTGGTGTCTACTAATAAATATATAAAATAAATGACAGACGTACACACAGATATGATATCTCAATTCTGATTATAATTTTTTTGTTTCAGAATTCAACTTGAACAAGTCTATAAATCATGTTTTTATTGTTTTCTCTTGTAAAAATATCTTTGTATATATATCTGCAAAATAATTGTTTATGAATTATATAAATAATCTTAATTACCTGTTCAATGTTTGCAACTGTAATTCATGTTTTTCCGCATAATGTTGATGTTGCCTTTGGAAACGAGCTAATTGCAATCTGCTCGTTATAGCATCTTCCCTAGCTTGTTCCAGCACTTCCGTCATAGCTAAAAGCCTTACCCGTAAAGTGTCTACATCTAAAGTCTCCGGATCTACATGGAAATCTAAACCAACTAATGGTTCTGTTGCCTCTAGAGCAGGTTCCGTTACTTCAGATGAATCCTAAATGGAAATAAAAAAATTGAAAAAAAGATACATTTGCACACTTCGTTTTGCTCTTAATATAAAATTTGATAAAAATAAACATTTACAATATATTGAGATAAATTTTAAGCTTTCAAACGTTTATAATAATAACAAAATATATAGTTAAATACTTTTGTTAGAATTAATTAGAATATAAACTTACGTCTAAGTAGTTTGGCAGCGTGACTAACATATCATCTAATGTTTGATCGAGTGATGAAATAGGTACAAGGCCACCCAAATTTCCAGTATCCATCACAGGGGTTAGTATCTTCTCTTCTTCAAAAGACTCGCTGGATGTGAGAAAAGATTTTATGGTAAAACCATCGTGTATTTATTATTACTCATCTATTAGCTGGTATTAGATATTCACCAATTATCTATTATTATCTATTTTCAGTTATTATATGAAAGATGTCTACCATTGTTCCCACTCTGGAAGTTTTGTATTGATCGCTGTACTGTCATTGGACTCTGCTTGAGGTTGACAATCTGATAAATATGTGGAAGCGGAATCTTTAGTCGGCGTTACCACAGGAGAACTGGGGCACGTTGGTGGAGCACTAATAGAAGTTGCAGTCTCTCTGCGCTCTTCTTCCTCATTGTCATCAAAAGAAATTATACGGGTTTGTACTTTCTTTTTCCGCTTTTCTTGTTCAGATGGAAGAGATTCTGTTTAATAAGTATTAGCATAATAATTAATAACTCAATACTAACCGTTTCAATAACTTTTCAATTTTTTTCATTACAGTGCGAGACGCCAAGCTTTTCATTTAAGTTCTGTTTTAAGTAAAAAAAATTACAGATTTAAGATTGTCAAACAAAAATTTTGAGATCAACAAGTGTCTTTCTAAATAGGAAGTAATGGAGCGAATATAATGATTTCAAAACGTTGTATATTTTAACTTTATGATTTGCATCGTGTACATTTGTAGATCTTTTATATATATATATATATATATATATATATATATATATATTGTTGTGCATTGCTTGTAGTTATTCTAGTAAAATTAAAATAAGAACATTTCGGGCGTCTTCATTTACATTTGTAAAACGATATCTCTCAAGAAATTGCCGAGCTAGTTTTAAACATGTAATAAAGAATTTTTCCACATTTTCAAATGTCTAACCTGCCATACTCGTATATGGTACTTTAAATAGGCCAATTATTATCAGGCACAGCCGTCAGCTGATAACGAATTGCTGTTCAACATTGCAAACATACGTTTGCAAACAATACAAGTTGCTCGACTATTTTTCCAGTACCGCGATAAATGTCAACTCTTTACTCCTCGCGTTAACTTCACATTTCCAATTCGTGCAAACGAAAACTAGTGGGTTTTAACTTTCAACAGACACGAGAAACATTTTATCTTAATTTAACATCTATATTTAATATCGCATATCTATATTTACAGTACAATACAGCAATACATACCTGGTATTACTGTAGAAATTATTGGCTCCGATTGCACGAATCTATTTCGGTCCATTCCTTTTCCATTTAGGTCGTCAAGTTCCTCATTGTCCGTTCTTATCGCAAATAAAATCGTACCAAGACCTAATATGCGTATGCACGTGTATAAGATTAATTCAATATGTTTTTTATAAGGCTCCAATAAAGCAATAATTTAAAAATATAGTACCGGCAGCTACGTTAGGTAATACGGCACTCTTTTCCTGGTCAAGCAAGAAGGCCCATTCTTCATAAAAAGGAGACAGCGTGCTAGGATTTATGACAGCGTGTAAGTGCCGTTCGAGAGATCTTTCGTTCAGGACAGCTCTCAGCCATGCTCTACCTCGACCGTAATCCGTGTGAACTCTTCTCAACGTGCTAAAACGTTCCTGTTCATGCCAGGTGAGTTGATCCTTTATGCACGGCCAGAACGCTATATCCGCTACACTACCAGGTCTTGTATTGCCACCAGAGACCAAATCAGATACATGTCTACGAAACAAATATAAACATTTAACTCTCAATCACAATTTCAAGCACGATCGTTTGTGCGTAAATAATTTACGCTGAAAATTTATAGGCAGAGAAACGTATCGCCCATGCATTTATCATCGCATCGAGTCACATTGCAGATAAAGCGTGTGATCTGTTTTATGACCTTGTGCGCTCATACAGTGAGCGGCAGAAGGAAGATAAACACATGTAAGCCGCATTATGTCATAAACATTACCTGAATGCTGAATTGATTTTTTCTATGTAATTTGTCTTCAATCCGTGGCTGAAAATCAATTCGAATATATGGCAGAGCTTCGCCACGCATGCTTCCGATTCCGTGGCTAATTCCGCACGTCCCCCAAATCTGACGTGACACTCTTTCGCGGACACTAACAGATCCTCCAGTAATTTCTCTTTTTCAGCTGCATGGTCTACTATATTATGAGTATTCGGCACTATCGCTGACATAATACGCAAAGCCTGGGGAAAATACGTTTTAAGACTTAACGTTTGAAGAAACGCAAAGAGAAAAATCTCAAAATTTGTACAGTTGCACTTTTTTTTATAAATAAAAGAGTGTCATTATTACAAGTTAAATAAGTTCTATATATAGAGAAGTATTTAGCAATGTATACAATTTCTAAGCATATATATTTCAATTATTTTAATATCGGGATATAAATATTAATTTATAAAGCAATTTAATTACTTAAATACCTTATTTTAAATATATATTTAATTAGAAATAAAATAAAATAATAAAAAATAAATAAACAATATTTAGAAACTTATTTTAAACTTGCTCCAACATCCACTGTGTATTTAAATATGCAGTGTAATTGTACTTTTCGTATCACAAATGTCGCACAAGTAATATCTTCAAATTGACTTTCCTCATAATCTCACTCGAAAAATTTTCGCGTTCTACTTCTTTAAAATACACACGAAGACCTAATTGTACAGACAAGAATCAAGTATACAAGAAAACAAGATCAGTGAAAAAGTTTCTACGTATTTCTCGACGCTGCATCGAACACAATCGTCAAACTAGTTCGCGCAATTCGCAAGTTGAACGAAAAAAAATAAATAAATCGTGAAGCCTCGACGAAGGAACACAAAGAAATGCGCGGTCAGCGTTATTGCATTCCCCATTCATAAGTCATTGCGCTTTCACAACGAGTCCATATACATTCCTGGCGATTTGACAATCGTGCGACGTACCCACGCAAAACACGTCGAGCCCGCCATAAGAAACTTGTGGCCCGCTTAAACGAATCGCCGCGGCGAGATCTCGGGGCCCGCGAGCGCGAGTTTCCTTGCAGATTTCTCCCGGATAATCGGACGCGCGATCGCCTATCGGCGCGCGTCCGTATCGTCCCGATAATCGCGACGACGCGCGTCATCGCGATCGCTGGTGTCCGATATCAGTGAGACGCGTAGGCGCGGAGGCAAACAAAGGGGACTAGGGCACGTAGCTCACCATTTAAGCGACCCAGCGAGGGACCAGCCGCCTCTCGGTAGTTGCTTTCACGAGCGCGTATCGTCCGCGCGCATCTGAGATTCTCCCTCGCGAACCCAAGCGACGACGCTCGCGCAGGGGGGGGGGGGGGG